CCCAAAAAAAAAAAACCTGTTAAAATAATTTCCTACGTTCAAAAGACTGAAGTCTCTCTATTAAGGCTTTTTAGACTGTTAATGCTCTGTTTGCTTTGACTTTTTATATTTTGACAAGCTCCCCAAAATTCATATCTTAAATAAAGACTTTACTTTAACTTTTTTCTTTGAGAATTTTCAAAGGGCCCTGAAACTTCTCAAAGAAATTTGCTCTCTTCCTATAAGGAAGAAGACAAAAAAATTTGCTCTCTACCTATAAAGAGAAAGATACTAAACTTATTAGGCTCATTCAGTATGGTAAATTACATAAAAAACATTGTGAGACAAGTGATGATAAGCCTGCTTAGGTGGTATTTTGTGGGTTAATGTTAATGATATAGGCGTTTTAAAATTGTATAACATTACTAAAATTCTGATCTGTCCTGATTATCAGTCATAATTCTGGTTATTATTTTAAAATGTTGTACGTCACAAAATTAACCAAATTTCTTTTGTCAATTGCCATTTTGAAGTCTTGTTGTTTACAGACTTATTTCTTTGCTCTAATGTTTTTACAAAATGTTTCAACTTCAGAAAAATTCATGGAAAGGACTCTGATATTTACACTGGAATACAGGTTTCTGACAAACTTTCTGATCATAAAACTGAACTTGGTAAGAAATTACAGAAATCTGATGGAGAAACTGACTTCATGAAGCTGCTAACAAAAAGACTGGGATTGAGAATAGATTACAAAGGACTAAATGTACTGATAAAGATGATTATAATTTTTATGATTTTTCGTTTAAAGTATTGCTAAATTTTTAATGTTTTGTTTTTTCAGATTTAAGGAAAACTTTTTCTCTTTTCTCCTGAGCTAGCTATGACTTATAACAATTTAATAAATGATATTTTTGTGAGTAAAATTGAAATATTTATCTTTTTCTCTCTATCTGATCCCTCGAATTTAGAAACTCTTAGTAAGTGAGTATTGTTGTTTTCATGGCAATATAGTTATTTACATAAGTTCAATAAGAATCTGTTCTCCTTATAACAGGACACAATTGAAAACACTGGGTCTATTACCAAAGTTGTGACTAGAACATCATATTTACAATATAACCATACAGCTCTTGAGGAATGAAGATTAGACTTTATGGAATAAAGCCACGTGGAAATATTGGCCTGGTACCTTTATGTTCCAAGCAGCACTTACCAGGATAAATAAAAAATGTCACTTATCTGGCAGGTACAAGGAACCTCCAAATATTTTGGGGAAACCTCGGAAGAGAGAAATTCACCCAAATCTATAGGTATTACAGGCAACGTCTGATGACAAAATCCTTGGCTTGGCTTTCCTGGCCTCGAGAGGCCTTTGAAGTTCAATCTGAGATTCCTTATAAAAAGTTCCAGCAAAGCAGATTTAAAAGAGCCTATGTGATCAATTGCTATTCTTGCTGTACTTATGTAAATAATTGGGCCAACTCTATTGAAACTAGACTTATTTTGCAAACTAGTTAGTTTTAATTTGGCTATCTTTGATAAAAATGAGGGTGATTTTAGAAAAAAAAAAATTATGTTTCAGTAAAAACTATAGTATACATTTGTGGATATTAGATCCTAGTTTTGTTAATTGTCTTTTGAGGTTTTTGTTTTATATCTGTTGACGGGACTGGACCCTGATTTCTTCTAGTCTCCT